AAGAATAGAAGGTAGGGTCCATAAAAGAGAAGGGTGACAGATCGGGTTGGGAGGTATGAAGGCTCTGTTAAACAGTGAGAATATTATCCTGGATACCATGAAGAGCCAAAGAACTGATAAGATCAGATTCATATTTTAAACAGTTCACTCTGGAAATGCTGTGGAGTGTGAACTGTAGGGTTGGAGGCAATTCTGGAGTCAGGGAGACAAATTAAAACAGTGTTTTCCCAAATTTTCCAGTAATAAGAATCACCTGTGGGTATTTTTAAATATACAAATTCCCAGGCTCATTCCTGGGAGATTCTGACTGAGAAGTTTGGGAAAGGTCCAGAAATTTATGTTTTTAAAAAGCATGAAACAGCCCTGGCTTTTCAGTCAGTTGGAGCATTGTCCTGTGAACCGAAGGGTCGCCGGTTGAATTCCTGGTCAGAGCATGAGCCTGGTTTGCTGGTTGTTTCCCAATCAGGGTACATGAGAGAGGTAACTGATCAATGTTTCTCCCTCACATTGATGTTTCTCTCCCTCTCTTTCTCTCCCTTCCTTCCTCTTTCTCCAAAATCAATAAGCATGTCCTTGAATGAAGATAAAATAGAAAAAAGCATGAAAACATCTGCTTCCTGTCTTCAGATAACTCCTGTCTTTAGAGAGATTTTGCAAGGTGGTGGCTGTAAGCATTGAGGTCAGGAATAATGAGGACATAAACCAAAGTAATAAAAACAATGTGGTTGGAGGTTAGGGGACAGATTTCAAAAGCAAGAAGCAACAGGACTTGGTGAACAATAGAATGGAGCCAAGGACGGCACTCAGAATTTTGGCTTGCATGATGGGACAGAATTTGAAAGAAAAGTAAGCCTGGCAGTAAGGTTAGTGAGTTTAGATTTGCTCGAGTTGAGTTTGGAGGGTCAGTGGGAGGAACATGTAGTCAGAGGTTGCTTTATACATCCTGGAAGTACAGGGAAGACATTTGGGCTGGAGACACGAAAGTGGAAGCCATTGGCACACAGGGAGTAACTGAAGCTTGGCAAACACTAACATTTAGTTGGTGGGGAAGGGAACAAAATCTTTCCTTACTTGTTCATTCATTTATGCATTCAATCTTTCATTCAACAAACCAATTTTAAGTGCATGTTCTTTGCCATGCATCATGTTACACACTTTTTCCATAAAGGCAACTGTGAAAAAGTAGCTAGGAAGGGTATAAGGCAAAGAGTAGTGTCACTGAAGGCAAGTGAGAAGATTGTGTCAAGTGATGTCAAGACACCAGATGAAATAATGAGTGAAATGGGTTCTCTGGATTTAGGGAAAACAAGGTTATTGATAATTTAGGAGAGAATAGATTCTGCTGAGTTATGGGTAAGGAAACTGAATATGAGACACAGCCCCAGTTATGAATGGGTGGTGAAGAAGTGATGGTAATGAGGATGAAGAGAGATAAATGTAGTAGACTGTAAAAATGGTTACAAAATATTCTCCTTCCTGTATGCATGCCCCTTTGCAGTGTTTCTTCATAGTTATTCCAATCAAGAGTCTGAATCTGTGTCTTTACTCTTTAATTTGGGCTTGGTCATAACAAGTTGCAATGACCAATGGGGCATTAGCAAATGTGGTGGAAACAGAAACTTTAAAAGACTTTGTGGATTGGGGCTTGCCTCTCTTGCTGTTCTTGGGAACACTGTGATTGCCACCAGGTAAAAATAAACCTGGATTAATTTTCTGGAGACTTGTAGTCAATCATCTTTGTCACTCCACTGGCAGCCAACATCAACTGACAGCAAGCAACAGCCACCAGACATTGAGTAAGATACTGAATCAGCCCATAGCCAATCAACCCACTGACTTTGGCTGTAGAGTGAGCCTAGCCAATCCTAGCAAAACTATTCAGCAAAGACCAGCCTAAGACACTGACTCACATAAAAGTGACTGCTATTTCAAGCCACTCAGTTTTGAGAATAGCTTCTTACAGATCACAAACTAATTGATAGAAGAAGACATTGCCTGAGTGTCAAAGATTTCAAGTATCTAAATTATCCTGGGGTTTGAAATTTCTCCGAGCTGGACTGGAGGTCAGAAAAGGTTTGGTTGTTCTTAGTCTATTTTCTCTCCCTAACACATGTCCCAGGCAGAAACAATAAAAGCAGTATTTAGGAGTGGAATGGCTAAGTCACGTGGTGTAATTGATTTATGTTACAATATGAACGAATCTTAAAATAATTATTCTGAGTGAAAAAAGCCAGACCAAAAAGAAGTACATACTATATATTTCATTTATATAAAATGCTAGAAAATGTAAACTCATCTATAATGACAAAAAGTGGGTCAGTGATTGCCTGGGAACGGCGTGGAGGAAGGAGGGGTGGATTACAAAGGGTCGTGGAGAAACTTTTAGGGATTATAGATATATTCATTTTTTTGCTTGTGTTGCTGGATTTGTGAGTGTATACTATATATTGAATAATATGTCAAAACTCATAACATTGTACAGTTTAGAGATGTGCAGTTTAATGTATATCATTTACACACCAATAAAGCTGCTAAAGAGAAAAAAAGCACAAATAAATACTTCAATTTTGCTTCCTATTCATAAGTGTGGTAGCAGAATAATGTCTCTCCCCCAAAGATGTTCATGTCTCTATCTCCCAATCTGGAGATGTGAGTAAGTGGGCATGTGTAGAACTGTGAATATTTTGCTTTACATGGCGAAGGAACTTTGCAGGTATAACCGTAGGTATGGATTTTAACATGAAGAAATTATCCTTAATTAATTGCATGGATCCAGTCTAATCACAGGAGTCTAAAATGGAGACGAAACTTTCCTGGTTGGGTCAAAGAGATATAATAGAAGAGCAGAGCCCTGGCCAGGTGGCTCAGTTGGTTGGAGTATCATTGGTTGAACCCATATAGCAAATGATCATGGGTTTGATTCCCCATCAGGGCACACACTTAGGTTGTGGGTTCAATCCCCAGTTGAAGCACGAAATCAATCAAGTTCCTCTCTCTCCCTTCCTCTCTCTCTAAAATCAATAATCATATCCTTGAGTGAGGATTAAAAAAGAACAACAGAAGAGCAGAGATTTGAAAACCTCCACCTGCTATTTCTGGTTTTGAAGCTAAAGACAGGAGACCATCAACCAAGGAGTGTGGTGAGCTCTAGAAGCTGGGAATGGGCCTCAGTTTATAGAAAGCAAGAAGACAAAGACTTTAGTCCTATCATCAGAAAATGCAGGTAATCCAAGTGAGCAAACGGATTCACCCTTAAAGTCTCCAGAAAGAAATGGAGCCAGCAGACACCTTAAGTTCAGTCACGCTTCACTGTTGACCTACTAACCTATAAAATACTTAGTTTTTGTTTTTTCATGGCACAAAATTTGTGGTAATTTGTTATAGCAGTAATAGGAAGTGATTATGTAAATTTTTCATGGGCAGAACATTGAATTTATGGGTTATAGCAGCTGTTTTGATTACCTATTTCCCAGTCATAAATCACAAATAATGAGGACTTGATTGTATTTTGCACCCCTTTGCTGCCTGCTTCCATTTTAGTAACTTGCTCAACTTTTAAAAGGCGGCTCTCGCCACTCAGGTATGCTTCCATAAGCTGGTTGCAGGAGCTCAGTTCTTTGAATTTCTCAGGCTGAAACACATACTGGTGAAATTTTTCACCAACTATAGAAATATTCTCTCATTAAACATTGACCCCATCAATTGACCCTATTGTAAACAATATTTTATATTTTATTTTATTTTATTTTATTTTATTTATTTTATTTTATCTTACAGGCTGACTGATTCAAATACTGGCTCTACTCTCTTATGAGTTACTTAGACATCTGCACCTTAGTTTTCTCATCTGTAAAATGGGGACAATAGTGGTATCCTGAAAGTAAGGATTTAATTAGTCTACCCATATAAAACACTTTTAACAATGCCTGGTACATGTAAGCCCTCAGTGAGTGCTGGGTTGTTAATGATGATGATGATGATGATGATGATGATGATGATGTTGTCTTTGCTATCAGAAAAAATTTTTTATCACAATAATGAATTTCTATGTCCTAACTTCATATGTCCTAGCAAAAAAGAGCTCTTTTTGCCTTTCTTGTGTGCCTGTACTTCTAAAAAGATACAGATCACTTCCTGTGGTTTTCTTGCCCTAAAAGTTCCTGTTTCTTCTGAGGCAGAAGCAGGAAGAGAAAGAGCACATAGGGGTGTTTGCTGAACACAGCAGAATTCTGTCCAATGACTCTTTTCCCCCAGTTAGAGGAGTGAGTTGCTAGAGCAGGGATTATTCTTTTAACTTTTCCCATCTTTCCAGCTTTCCCCAAGTGGCCTGGATCTCCATACCGAGCCTTTCCTCCTCAGTGCATGATGAGGAGTCAAAAGATTCCTGAAGTTTTGTTGTCTCTGAAAATAAAACTGAACATTCCAACCAAACCATTTACAATTTTATTACATATCAGCTTTCTTGTGTGGCATTTATTTGAGGAAAGGCTCTCTTACATATGACAAACTTGGTTTTAGAAAATTGAATCAGACAGATTAATATGATCTGATTTAAGAGAAGGAAAAGATACACTACGTGATAAGAGTTATTTTAAATGAACTTATTTTCATGGCTCTGAGTGCTCAGAGGAAGAAAACATATGGATAGTATTGCTAATTTAGTAACATATTTGCTTCAGGCTTTACATGCAGTTTACTAGACTGGGCAGCCTACTTCTTGGTCTTTACTTTTTTTAAATTTAATAATTTTTAATTGTATTTTTATTACCATTTAGTCCCCTATACCACTCCCCACTTGCAATCACCACCCTGTTGTCCATGTCAGTGAGTCCTTTTTTCCTTTTTGCTCCATCCCTCCACCCCCTAACCAACCCCCATAGCTGTCATCCTGTTTTCTATCTGTGAGTCTGTCTCTATTTTGCTTGTTAGTTCAGTTTGTTCATCAAATTCCACATATGAGTGAAATCATATGGTACTTGTCTTTCTCTGACTGGTTTATTAAAAATATGGAACACTTCATGAATTTGTGTGTCATCCTTGCACAGGGGCCATGCTAAGCTCTGTATTGGGATGCCAATTTTAGTATATGTGATGCCGTAGCAAGCAATGGTCTTCACTTTTGAATGGAGGGCTGCAAGAGAAGCTGTCTGACATATGGAACAGTCAACTGAAAATAAAGTAGCATGATTAATGCAGGCAATTTTCTTCACTGTGGTTACAAGATGGCTGGGGCTTCTAAATTTACACACGGTACATTGAAGTAGAAGTGGATGCCAGATCTAAGAGCTCTGTGTGGGCAGCCTCGACAGTGGGTATTTCAATTTGACAATTTTGTTAGTTGCCATAGTAATTGTTACAATCATGTGGTTTGTGTGGTTTTTGTTATACTGAACACCTATTAGAAGCACCTAGCAAGCCTTAGCATTTTACTTCGTTTTCTTTTGCATTCTCTTAGAGAAAAACAATAATGTGTGGTCAGATTTTAAGCTGAATAAAAAACAAAACAAAACAAAACAAAGAGATCACTTGCACATCCTTATGTAAAGCATGTCCATTTCCTTATTATTTTTAATTAGTTTTATTTAGTGCAGAAATCATCAGGATGTGATTTTATTTTCCAAAACAAGGAGTCCTAGAAACCAAGGTTACGAAGCTTCATAAAAAGAACAGGAAACTCCCTTCTTGTTATGAATGTGTTGTGTCAGCACAATGCTGCTCAAGTTCAGACTGAAATTTATGCTGATTCGAAAATGACTGTAAATGTTACTACTCCCTTTAAAAATGGTGCTCTCGATGGCCATGTGTTACTTAGTTCCCGAATGCTACTCCGAAGGCTAGATTGTGAAGGTGGTTTCGAAACACTGGGTAGTATCGTTTTGCTAAACAAAATATTTATATTGCAATTGTTAAAACAACTTGAAGGCTTATGGCTAAATGTTCATAGCTCTCTTCATCTTTGCCATAGGCTTATTATTTTTTTTACCCATTGGAATATTAATTCTGAAGTTAAAATACAGGAATAATAATGATGAGAATACGCAAGTCTTCTTCAGATGATTTTCTAATTTTTACCAAAAGGAGATAAAGCCTGCTCCTCCAATAATTGTAGAACCAGCCACATGGCCTGGGAATTCAGGTGCCTCCATGTGGCTTGTAGACTTCATGAGAGGAGATGGTGGAAGGAGTAGCTTGTCTGGAGTTTGGGTGTGTGCTCTAAAGGGGCAGTAGAAATTGACCACTTCTTACTATTTTCAGTGATATTCCCTGAAAGAATTTGGGGAGAATGACTTAAATATTATATCTTAAATCTCATATACTGCATATATACACTGGTCAATTAAAAATTAGGTAGAATTTCCTAACATGGGACTCTCTGCAAAACTATAAATTTCATTGCCTTTAAAGATTAGTACAAGTAGATGTGTTCTATATGCATTTTTATTTATCATTAAAAGTACTTTGATGATAAGAATTCTGCCAATCAGAAAGAGTGACCAGGAAATTATACACCCTTAGTACACTATTTTTTTTAACTTTTTAAAAAACGATTTTATTTATTTATCTTTAGAGAGGAAGGGAGGGAGAGAAGGAGAGAAATATCAATGTATGGTTGCCTTTTGTGAGTCTCCTGCTGGGAACTGGCCTGCAATCCAGGCATGTGCCCTGATTGGGAATCGAACCGCGATCATGTGGTCTGCAGTCCTGCGCTCCCACTGCAGTCCTGCAGTCCCATTGAGCTACGCCAGCAAGGGCCCTTAGCAAACTAGAGTGAAACCATTTGCAGTTGAAAAGTGATAAGTTTTATAGTCTTGTTCTTCCATCTACTTTCCTTCCGGAAATATGAAGACCAAGCAAATGCTAATAAATCATGATTAAAAAGGGAATGGTGTAGAGTGAGAGGAAGACTCAACTAATGTCTTCAAAGTTTTATTATATACATTAAATAGTGCATAAATTTGAGAAAATGAAAAAACAAATCAGTATTAACTTCATAACAAATAACTGTTTAATTTTTACTAAATATTTAAAATTTAATTTGAATAGATAAATCATTCTTGTGGTTAAAAAAACGTAAGTGTCATCCTGGTCTCTCTCTACGACTCTGTTTCTGTTTTGCTTGTTAGTTCAGTTTGTTCATCAGATTCCACATATGAGTGAGATCATATGGTATTTGTCTTTCTCTGCCTGGCTTATTTCACTTAGCATAATGTTCTCCAGGTCCATTGATACTGTCACAAAGAGTATAATTTTCTTCTTTTTTACCACCAAGAAGTATTCCATTATGTAAATATCCCATAGTTGTTTTTTAAATATATTTTATTGATTATGCTATTACAGTTGTCCCATTTTCCCCCTTCACTCCCCTTCACCCTGCACACCCTCTCCCACCCACACCCCCCCTTTGTCATACTGATAAGTTCTTAAGCTTCTACATTTCCCATACTATTCTTGCCCTCCCATTGTCTATTTTCTACCTACCATCTATGCTACTTATTCTCCATATATTTTCTACTCTTTCCCCCTCCCACTCCCCTGTTGATAACGCCCCCCTGTTGATAAGACAAATGCAAGACTGTGGGACCACCTGGTTTGCCTTGACCCTCCACAATCTGCCACCTCACTATGTCCACCCAGTGCCTCCTTGTGCACTGGGGCCTACCAGCCACAGCTTTTTTTGCCACAACCTCTCTGCACCTGGCCGCCCCACTCTGCCCCTCCTACTGGTCTGGATGAATGTGTCTACTTTAGCTTCTTGGTTGTCAGACTTCCTACAGTTAAATTTTCTGTCAGTACTGGTTGTTTTTTTTGTTTCTAAATTTTTGTTGTTCTATTTTTTGGTTGTGCAAAGAGGCACAGTGTGTCTACCTACACCTCTGTCTTGGCTGGAAGTCCCCATAGTTGTTTCATCCACTCATCTACTGATGGACACTTGGGTTGTTTCTATATCTCAGTGATTATAAATAATGCTGCAATGAGCAAAACATTGCTTATTCTCTTTTGAATTAACATTTGGGTTCCTTCAGATATATTCCCACAAGTGAGCTGACTGGGTCAAAAGGAGGCCCAGTTTTCATTTTTGGAGGTATCTCCATACTGCTTCCTACAAGTGACTGTACCAATTTGCATTCCCAGCATCAGTGCAAAAGGGTTCTCTTTTCTCCACATCTTCATCAGCATTTGTTTATTGATTTATTAATGGTGCCCATTCTGACTTGTGTGAGATGATAACTCATTGTGGTTTTAATTTTCAATTCTTTGATGATTAGTAATGTTGAGCATCTTTGCAAGTATCTAATGGCCATCTATACATCCTCCTTGGGGAAATGTCTATTCAGGTCCTTGACCCATTTTTTAATTGGATTTTTTTGGTTTGGAATCATCTAAGTTCATTATAAATTTTGGATATTAACTCCTTATCAGATATATCAGTGGATATGTTTTCCCATTCAGTGAAGTGTCTTTTTATTTTGTGGATGGTTTCCTTTGCTGTGAAAACCCTTTTTAGTTTGTTATAGTCCTGTTTCCTTTTTTTGTTTGTTTGTTTCTCTTGCTTGAGGAGATACATTTGATAAAGTATTGTTATGAGCAATGTCCAAGATTGTATTGCCTATGTTTTCTTCTAGAATTTTAATGGTTTTGGGGTAACATTTAAGTATTTAATTCATTTTTAATTTATTCTTTCATTTTTCTGCACATATCTGTCCAATTTTCCCAACACCATTTATTGAATAAACTATCTTTAGCCCATTGTATGTATTTGTTACTTCTTGTGAATATTAATTGACTATGAAAATATGGGTTTATTTCTGGACTCTCTATTCTGTTCCTTTGTTCTACATGTTTTTTTTAATGCCAGTTCTTTGCTGTTTTGATTACTATGGCTTTATATTATAGTTTGTTATTAGGTAGCATGATTCCTACAACTTTGTTCTTTCTCAGGATCACTTTTGCTATGTGAGACCTTTTGTGGTTCCATATAAATTTTTGAAATATTTGTTGTAGTTCTGTGAAATATTTCATTAGAATCCTGATAGGATTCTACTTTGAGTAGCACAGACATTTTAATTATGTTAATTCTCCCTATCCATGAACATGGTATGTAGTTCTAGTTATTCGTATCTTTTATTTCTCTCTTCAGTGTCTTATAATTTTCTGAGTATATGCCTTTTATGTCTTTGGTTAGATGTGTTCCTAGGTATTTTATTCTTTGTGAAGTAATTGTGAATGGGATTGCTTTCTTAATTTCTCCTTCTGATAATTCATTATTAGCATATAAAAGTGCAACTGATTTCTGGACATTAATTTTGTATCCCACTACTTCGCTGAGTTCATTTATCAGTTCTAGTAGTTTCTTGGTAGAATCTTTAGGGTTCTCTATGTACAGTATTATATCATCTGCGGATAAAGACAGTTTTACTTCTTCTTTTCCAATTTGGATGCCTTTTATTTCTTCTTCTTGTCTGATTGCTGTGACTAGGACTTCCAGTACTATGTTGAATAAGAGGTGAAAGTGGATGTCCCTGTCTTGTTCTTGTTCATGATTTTAAGGGGAATGCTTGTAGTTTTTGCCCATTAAGTATGATGTTTGCAGTGGGTTTGTCATATATGGACTTTATTATGTTTACATCTCTTCCCTCTATTCCCACTATGCTTAGAGTTTTTATCATAAATAGGTGCTGGATTTATCAAATGCTTTTTCGGCATATGATCATATGGTTTCTATCCTTCATTTTGTTTATGTGGTATATCATATTCATTGATTGAGAATGTTGTACCAAACTTGCATTCTTAGAATAAATCCCACTTGATCATGGTGTATGATCTTTTTGATGTATTGCTGCATTTGTGTACTAATTATTTTGTTGAGGGTTTTACCATCTATGTTCATCAGTGGTATTGGCTTATATTTTTCTTTTTTTTTGTAGAGTCTTTATCTGGTTTTGGAATTAGAATAATGCTAGCCTCATAAAAATGAGCTTGGGAGTCATCATTCCTGTTGAATTTTTTGAAATAGTTTGAGAAGAAAAAGTGTTAATTTTTGGAGTGTTTGGTAAAATTCACCTGTGAAGCCATCCAGTCCAGGACTTTTCTTTGTTGGGAGTTC